AACCAAGTACCCTCCGACCTCCAAAATTCCGGTTTTACCAGGACTGCTCTTGCATATAAAAGGAGATTATTCGAGAGACCTGTTTATCGAAAGCAATGCCTCATGATATCGCAGAGTCCCTCGCGACAGTTCGAAAAGGCGTGCGATCTTGGGCCTTGAGAACCACCCTCCTTCGAGAAGATTCTCACCCTGGTAGTATGAGGGCCATATCACTCTTAGGTCTTCAGGTTTCCCCCTTTGGTTCTATGCAGGCCAGCCATATCCCGAGGTTGCCCTGGCACACTGGACACTGTCCGTACTTAGTTCCAACACACCACCATGATGCACGTTATCGCTAGGTTCTTAAATCTCCTTCAGCAATTAAATAATACTCAGAGATTCGTGAAGCTTGAAAAAGAAAATGACCGCTGTCTATGACTGCCTAATGGATTGGATCAAATGCACTCACATCCTCCGTGCCGGACCGTCCCCGTTCTCGGCCCGGACCCGGAGCGGGGCCGACGTCAACAAAATTACCCGCTCCTGCCCGTCACGCTGCAAAAGATCCTTCAACGTTCGATTTGTGGAGAAGGTTGCACCCACCGCCGCCCGCAGCAAAGAACACACCTCTGTCCCCCCCCTGTTCGTTCGAATTTCCAGGCCCGCGCACCCGAAAATCCACGCTAAGATAAACGACGATAAGACGTTGAGCACGAGCCAACGAACTCCCCTAGTCCCCAAATTTTTTAGTCGTCCTTCCCGTCGCTTCTGCGCATCTTCTAGACGCCGATCGTCAACAGCCTCAACCTGTCGCAACGTCGAGATCGCCAACGCACTCGTGTGACCAAACCTTCGAGTCTTTGAAGCACCCCAAGACATACAGCAGCCACATCATAGAAAAATTCTATACATCTGTACACATAAATTATACACAATGGCGCCAGCATCGCCATCCGCCTCCACGGCAGCCCCCAAACTCCCCGCCTCGGCAGACTTCAACGCCCTCTACAACCGCATCTCCCTCGCCTCCGCAAAACAAGCAACCTTCCTCACCTCGATGCGCGCAAAATACCCCTCCCTAGCACGATCATCTTCCTCCTCCACACAAGCAACAACCTCCAGCAACGCCGCTACGCCAGGCACCTTTTCATCAATGTCGAAACCCACCTCCTCAACCGAGACCACAACCACAGCCACCTCAACAACCAGCCGCCCCCGAGCTCCCGCCGACGACGCGGACCTCCGCTTCGAAAACCCAAACACGGGCCTCGGCTTCGCGACCTCCAAAGCGGACCAGACCACCTCCGCCGCAACGCGAGACCTAAGCCGCCGCCTCCTCGGCAACAAACGCGGAGGAGGTCGCGCCGTAGACGACCCGAAAGCCCTCGCCGCCGCGGCGCTCAAGAAGCGCAGGCTACAAGACGACGAGAGCGACGAGGAGGAAGGGAGAGGCAGCTGGGGCAAGAGCAAGAAGAAGAAGACCAAAGTCCATCAGGAGGAGGGGGAGTCTGCCGGACCCGAGGCGCTCGTAGACCCGGCGGCACGGGAACGGGGCGATGTCGAGATGCGCGAGGGCGGATTGGACGACACAGAAGATCAAATACACGACAATGGCCAAGACAGCAAAGAGGATGCTCCGATCGCTAGTCCGATCCAGCCGGAAATAGCGGCGATGGACCCCGCCGAGGGGGATGAGGCCGATAAGCGACCCGAGACAGACGAAGCCACCAAGGAACGGAAAAGGAATAAGAAGAAGCGGAACAAGGAGAACAAGAAAAACAAGATGGCAGCGGCCGCTGCCGCTGGAGGAGAAGGTAGCGTCGGAGCCGCTCAAAAGATATCAGTGGCCTAGGGGAAATCATAGTTCCGCACATGACGAGTGCAGACTGCGGATCAGCGACACACTGCGACTCCCTTGGCCCGAGATGCCGGGACATCATCTCGCCAAGACCGCCGCCCTCATCCCTTGAGACCCTCTGGGAATTGCATGTGCGGTAGGCATCAGCGACAAGTCTCGGAAACTGTCGAATCACACAACTGCCGCGGATTGGCTGGCTGTCACAATATTGGTCATTGCATCTTCGCATTAGATCTAGCCAAGACTTGTTGAGCATGTGCCATCAGGCCATTTACAAGCCACACACTGCTGCTATTCCTGACCAAATACCTCAATATTCAGATGTGAACATGTTATTTTTTGAATGATTATCCATTTCCTCTCGCATCCCAAATGCAGATGTCGCAAATTACACCCCGATATGGACAGCTTTGGACAAATCTTGACAAACCTTGCCGCCTGACGTCCCTTGGGTATCCCGTCTCCTGAGCTCCGACCGCAAACACACAGCCTCCATCCGAGAGTGAATAATGTGAAATGAGATGTGGGATCCGCACTTGTTCTGTTCGATGAGACGCCATTGTGACGCTGAATTACTAGAGTTGCTAGTTTATAGTATGTTGTTGCTTCACGCAGTTCGGCCGTGATGCAGTAAATAACACATGGTTGATATCAATGTTGAACTTTTTGACGATTGAGAAATCCGGTTGTAAGTCGAGATTGACCGTCGGTGAATCGTATTATGTAGTGACCGTTGGCTTCGTGTGTGTTTCGGGTCTTGATCCTGGAATTTTTGGTTGTAGATATGCATCTGTGCAGCTCGTGTACTGATCCGAGTATGATCCCCCTTTCTTCTATACAAGGAAAGGAATATTTCCAGGAAATCATCGGATAGATGTGTCTATCTGATATAAAAATGTACGGGCATGCGTACGAGGAGTGTGCCATGCATAAGGATCCAACGGACGACTTTGAAGGAGGCAATTGCTTTGCTCACTGCATACGCTTGCGCTTCCGATCATCGTCGCCTCGGGGATCCTCATCCTCGTCGTCTCGTTCAGCCGTGTCAGTCGGGTTGAGGATATGCGCCATACTTCCGCGACGCGTGGGTGGTCCTGAATGATCTCTGATGGCCAAATTCTTGTTGTCCCGGTTGGCCGAGTTCCACGACCAGTTGCCAAAGGTATCCCCACCACCGCCATTCGAGAAGGGTGCGCCAGGAGGTGTGGTCGGTCGCGATAGAGGCCGTACTTGGGTCGCGTTTTGCAGTGAGTAGGTGGACAGCGACTCCCTTAGGCGCTGGTCCTCCGGCGCGAGTCGGCTGGGCGAAGATGGCCAAGGTCCGGAAGGCGGTCCTGATGGAGGCCCTGAAGCAAACGGCGGCGGGGCACTGGGCTGCCACCCGTGTGCCCGTATATCAGCCGATGTGTGACGTCTTGCTAGACTTCCAGGAGGCGGCTCCACCTGAGCCAAGGGATGCGGCCCCGGAGGAGGCGGAGGCGGCGCCCCCCGCAAGGGAGATGAGGCCTGTGGCACTGAACCACCGCCAACCGAACCACCACCAATCGAGCCATAGGGTCTTCGCGTGCTGATCGAGAGATTCGAAGGCACAGGAGGCCGGTAGAAATTCTGCCCTCTGGGCTGGGGAACAGCAAGATTCGCGTTTCGTCTTGGGTCATCCTGGGGTAACTGCCGCGGCGAAACCGGTGCATTCTCCACGTTGGTGAAGTATGCTCGGCTGCTTGAGAATGGCGATTCCTGGGGATCATCAATAGTTCGGAGCATCTCGGCCTGTCTTGCCATTTCCGATTGCAAATTGAGAACTGATTCGTGTAGTGTTAGCTACCAGCTACGTGGACCGCAAAAGATGCAACTCACCATCCCGGTGTACTGGGTTGTCGGGACTAGGGACGAGACTGAGCACCGTCCTAGACAACTCTTGGTTGAATTGGAGGAGCCGTGACATTGTTTCCATCACCGCTTGCTGCTTAATATGCATGTAATGGGCATTCTCTTCACTTCTCTGCAGTCGCATGCTCAGGTCGTACAGCGTATGCTCGAGCCCAGGCATACGCATTTCGGAGCCATCGCTCGGGGGAGGCATCGGTTCCGAAGGCGTTCCGGGCTGCGAAGGGCTGGGCTTTGAGTTGGGATACTCCCGGTGAACAAGAGCATGACGTGAAGCTCGCCGTTTAATTTCACGGAGTCCAACCAGGTCGCCTCGCTTGAAATTGCCGTTTCCATGTTTGAATTCCCACAAAGCGGTCTCGGGATTTGTCGTGTGGAAAACGTCGCTCACTGTTGCCTCAATTAGCATTTGACATTTTGTGGTCAAAGGAGATGCTATCGAACCTTTATGAAACCCGTACATGTTCAATTGTCTGACGAAAGAGGATATGTTGGTGTGTTTGAAATATTGTCTAGTCGATAGTGAGTAGGTGAAAGACATATTCGAAAGCGTGTTCACCTACGCTAGAACTTTGGAAAAGTCCGCGGACGGTGACATAACGAAGCTTTCAGCACTCGCTGACCATGATATCAGATGCTGTATGCTTGGGTCCTCCAGCATGCTGAACGGTGTTAGCTATACTGCTACTGAACATTGTTCTAGACTCCTGCTCACCTGTACAGCTTATGTATGAAAGCTGTCTGCACAATCTTTGGCTGGTGCACAGCCGCGGCCGCAGCTGCGGGCGCGGCGGGCATGGCGATCGAGTTGTTCGCAGATTGGTCTGTAGGCGAGGTGTGCTTGGATGCGCCGTTGGCATCCGTATCGTTGTGCTTGCTCGAAGGAGAGGTCGTGCTGGCGTTGTTGGAGGAAGTGATCTCCATAGGCTCACCGGGAGATGGAGCAGACATTTGAATGGTCGGGGTCGGGGTTGGGATAGGTACAATGCGATTCGGATTCAGATCGGCATGACCGTTAGCAGGCAGAGGAGCTCTCTGCGGACTCTCAGTCACTGTGGCCATCCCCTCTGTAAGACGCAAGAATCCGGTTAGCTCTAGAGACAAGGGCGCAATGAATTGCGAGGAGAACGCGGTTTTGGGAATGGCAGGGAAGACAGGAGAAGGAGTTGGAGCGGTATCGAGGCGGTCGCGGTGGGTTTGTGGAAATGGTTGAGGGGCTTGTCTCACCTCATGGCTTCGCAGAACGGTATAGGCGATGCGGGCGGGTTCTGCAGCGATGCGCGCAGAGGAAGACAATGGGATAGGTCTATCGCAGGAGGTATGGGGTTGGGGTGGCTATCTGGGATCGATTCTATTGTCGAGTGGTGCCTTTGAGCCCTTTGGCAGCTTCGCGAGAAGGCTTCCTTTGGCTAGGATTGGCGAGAAACGACAGCAATGTTGGTTGAAGCAGGCGAGCGCGAGTGGGTGAGCGGTTTGGGGATTGAAGCGTCCAGCCGTGGTTCGGTTCTGCTAGCAGCAGGTCTCTGTTCCAGCTGCCGACAGGCTTCCAACGTCGGGGGATTGCAAGGTAGAGGGATGGATCTGCTGGAATGCGTCCAGATTGGCAGAGCTGAAGAAAAAGGTTCGGGGTGTTCTTCTCGTCCAGATGGGTGGCGGAACTCTCAGCGAAATGCCTAGGGATGCGGGATGCGAGATGCAAGAGAATGGAAGTGGAAGTGTCGAAGTTCTAGAGTTCGAAGAGAAGGAGAAGGGTTTCCGAAGGCCAGGGCCGCCGGAAATATGACGACGAATGAGGGACAAGGACGAGGGACTGGGGGTGGGTGGTGGTGCTGGTGGTGGTGCTTGTGCTGCTGCTGGCGAAGGTTTAAAGTGGCTCGACTAGATCGATAGTCGGTTGGATCTGCGAGGACACAGGAAGAAAGAAGGCCTGATTAAGGAGAGCAAGTGCTACAAGAATTGCGGGATGGTGTAAGGTAGCGTGTACTCTAGACTGTGATTCAGCAGTCAGCTTCTGAGTGGCCCCGTTCTAATTGCGGCGTCGATGTGTCAGTCGGTTGGTAAACCCAATGCTTCAAGGTACCTTTTGTCGTGTTTGGGTCAAGGAGCAAGAGAGGGAGCAAGGACGGTAGATAGCCGAAGAAGCATGTGTGGGAGAAGGAGGAGGAGTGTGAGCGACGAGTCTCTATTGAGCCCAAGCACGGTAATAGTATCCGTAATGAGAGAGAGAGAGAGAAAAAAGGAGAAGGCGCGAAAGTAATAGAAATCGAAAAAAGGGATCTCAGGTATCCAATGTCAAATGGCCGAAAGTGGGAGAGAGAAGGAGGGAGGTGTGGCGCCCGTCCCACCAGCAGCACCAAGTGAGGATGTTCAGAATGTTCAGGTCGGGGAAAGTGTCGTTATTGATGGAAGCTTGCTGATTGGGCTGAAGGAGGGGGTGGGAGGGCATCCGCGGGCGTGTGAGATGGACGGCCATGCATGGGGCGGGCCCAAGTCGCTTTACCTTGCTGCAGCAGCAGCAGCAGCAGCAGCAGCGAATTTTAGGGGTACGAAGTACCTAGGTACGGAGCACCAAGGAGAGGACGGGAGAGCTCCTGCTCGGTCACTGAATTCTTCTTTCTCACCTTCACGTCGGGCAATCACACATTCCGGTACGTATAGTACCTTAGGTATCCAGGTATCTTACCTAGGTACCTCACTCAGATATGAGATATCTCACTCCAGGTCTCTCACTCACGCACAAATACATGGGACGTATTTGTACAAAGGTATACACGCGCGCTATCTTTGCCTATCTCTCTCTCATCTCACTCACACACGCATACACATGCTGCTGCACACAACAGGGCAGGTGGCACGGCAGGACAGACGATGTGGAATGGAAGATACCGTGGAAGCTCAGGAGAGAAGGGGGAAGGGGGTGTCCGGTCCCCGCCAGCTGAAAATGGGAATGGACAGGTGGGAAAGCAGGAAAAGGTCACATTCAATCCAATGGGTGGGTGGATCTGGCTGGAGGGGGGGTCGACGGTCGTCTTCTCCTCGCTGGGATCTCAAAGCGCACCCCCTCCCACAGGTAGGGAATTAGATGTGGGTGCAGATGCTGGGGTCCCTGGTGGCATTCTCCGGAACAGGGTCAAAGGAACAAGGTTAAGGCCGATGGATGAGCTGCCAGCCAGTTACTCAAAGTCTCAAAGGCTTCTTCTCCTGCATGTATCATCCCGTGCCTCTCAGTATGGGCGAATACACCAGTATTGTATTCTTGCTCTGGCCAGTCTACGCACGTTGAAATGGATGGCGCCCGCCGGGATCCCGTACCGCTCAAAGTCAGATTTTGGCTCGTCTGTCTACGTAAGGTAAGGTCGTAAGGTAAAGAGGTATCTCTGCAGCTACAGTACCTACCTACGCCATGAATCTGAATCGAAGAGGCGTTGAAGCCCCGTCAAGATGAGATGAAATGCAAGTCCTGATGTCTGAACCCCTGACGAGACTCTTTCCAAAATGGGCCAAGTTTGCTTCTTCTTTGCCGGGTCTTTGCTATCATACAATTCAAATTCACGAAACGTCAAACATGATGATGAAGTACACTGACAGGCAGGGAGGGAATTGCCATTTCCCCATCCTCCAGACAATAGCCCAGACGTTCGATCGGCGAAGCTCTTGACGCTCTTAGTCACAGTCATTTGCTGATGCCCACCAGTCTAGAGGAGCACAAAGAGCTTCAGCCGCACGATGCCTTGAGCATCAAAGAGGTACATGACACCAGATAGGCCATGTCTCTTACCACTGATGAGAATGAGAGTCCGCAACTGTGTCGTACAAACTTCGACGCCAGCCAGAGACATGGCAGAGAGAAAGGGCAACGAGTGACGTCGGATCAAGTACCCTGCGTCCAGTCTAGTCCGCGCCTATCTGTCCTTGGCTAGGTGTCCCATCGAGTACCTATGCATACAAATAGGGAGCACCACAAGGCTTCTCATCTTCGACTCCATATCTCCGGGGTCTGGGCAGCACTCTCTGCATTGACAGCCGCATGACTGCAGGTCAACCACTACATGAGGTTGCAGTTGCTTTGGACATGAGGTTCGATTGACGGTTTGAGCCATGATGAGCGAGCTAAAGGTACACTACCTTGGGCGTACAAAAAACACGGCTCGGTCTCTGGAGCGCCCGCCCGTAAGGAACCCTAAGACCGCCGGATGTTGGACCGTCGACTCGACTGTGTTTTAGCAACACGTCTTTCACCCAGCCGCTGGTCGGAGCCGGCGTCATGGCATCAAGTGGATGGTCCTGGCGTACCTATCTGCCTACCTAGCTGCACGTCTGCTTCTCCCGTGCTTTGAAGCTCAAGACGCAACTCTCTACTTACAGTTGCCAAGACACCAGCCTGCGTCGGAAACATTACACCAAGAGGCGCCCACCAGACAATGTATTTCGTTATAGCAATTCTCTCTGATTTGTAAGTTTTGGATTTTTTGCCAGCCAAGTAAGTAGAACCGTGCCTTTGGCAGCTACCATTGGATGTAAGGAAGGGAAAAGTATTTGCATCTCCCGTACCAGTCAAGACAGACTCTACCTAGGCAGGTAGGTATCTTAGTGCCTCAGTCAAGTGCCCATGGTGGCAAGCAAAAGAAGGTGAGGTAAGGTAGATGGAGATGCGTACCTGCCAACTTGATACCTAGGGGTAAGATGATATTGGGAAGGGTCAGCACAGGACACCTTCTGACTGGCCTTGCTTTTCCTTGCCTCGTGTTCTTTTCCATTCGTTGAACAGACAGTCAGACACCACGGGGCTCGACTCTTCGTTGCATGTTGCCTCGATTCCTATTTGCGCATTCCATCTCCGGCTCTTTTTCTTTCCAGCTTCGTTTCTTCGCCGTTCTTTCTCACTCGATTGAATGCCATTTACAGGGCCTGGAGCTGAAACTTGAGCGACCCTTTCACTCCTCCACATCTTGAACAAACGCATCTCAATTTCATCCACCGCCCTCCCTCTACCTAGTCGTTTCCTGGACCGAGCTCTTTTAATTTCAACCGCCTCCTCCAGTATCAGCCTGGACGTAGGCATAACCGATTCAACGTTTCTGTCAATTTCCTAGCATGTCGCCTTCGGATACACCATGATATGCACATCATGTATTTGTTCACCTTTTCCCGTACCCCCTGAGACCGTCCTCTCCACCCTAAAGTCCGTTTTTGCTTTCTTTTCCCGTCATTCGATCCCCAACTCCTCGTTTCTCTGACACGCTGTCTCAGTCGTGCAGCTCAAGATCTCTTCTCCAATCGCCCGGTCCAGGAAGCTACGAGATTGCCATCTGCGACAATCATAGCCTTTCAGCCAACCCCGTCTCCTCGATGCCTAGATGCGGCCGCGACCAGGAGGGGTGTGGGTGGGGAAGACACTATCCCAGCAAACCAAACCCATCTCCTGCTGAGAATGAGATGCGATACCCAAACCTACAAGGCAGACCCCCAGCCTCGATAGCTTCTGGCCGGCTGCAGCTGGAGGGTCGGTATCAAGTTTCGATCGACCCAAACGAGAGGCATCATTTTCTTCCCAGTCCTTACCACAACTACCACCCTTTAACCATCATCACCACCACCACCATTACACAGAACCAAACACTAAGGGCACGCCAGGACCCTACAAGCCGTGCAGGCTGGATCATGCTGCTACCGAGATGCTCTGTGCTTTCTTTCTGCTTCAACAGCTCCAGCTTAGCCTATCCGTTGCCCAACTAAAGCATCCGGTTCGTTGACTACATGTCACGTCTGTGTCCGTTCGACGGCAGGTAGACGACAAGCGAAACTGGCGGGACTCTTACCGAGCCAAAGGTCCCCAAGCTCCCCGTCCCAGGGCCTAGTCCCCCCGGGCACGAGCAGATGCTTTTACAACTGACAAGCCAGTCGGGAGCTGCGTTGCTTTCCCAGGAGTAGTGTTAAATCTCGATCAACCGTGGGCTTCGTCGACTATCCTGGAAGCCGACTGGCCAAGAAACTGTGCCTGGCTGTCTTCGCTTCGGGCCTGTGCTCTGTGGTACTGCGAACGGTCCAGCGTGTGGCATGTGGAGAGCTTGTCCTCATCAAATTGAGCACGCAAGTGCTTCAGAGCGGCTTTTGCGCAAGCCCTTTTGCTTCCTGTGTCTTACCGTGGCGTGATGATGGCCTCTGCCACTCACCCAATGAACCTTGCCTTCCCACCGCTCAAAGCAGGCCGTCATCTTAACCAAAGGTTCGAGCTAGCGGTGGTGCGGTGCTTGTGGCAGCTAACGCAGGACCACAACCAGCCCAGGAATTGCGGAAGACTCGAACCGGCCAGACGGTGCACTTCTGTTTCAACGGCGTCGCTTCTTCGCGATAATATCCACAATCCGCGCGAGACGGCTAGGGCAGACACGATCAAGCCATTCGCCTCCAAACGACCACCCTAGCAAAATGGCCGTGAGCTCAGTGCCTAGAGGCCTAGTTGACAATCGGGTCCGTCGATGCAGTACACACGCAATGATCACTCCGCGTCAAGGAGGAACGCACAGAGACCCATAGGTCAAAATACGATCTAGACAAGCACCGCATTGCTCTTGGCCGGAGGCTCTTGAGATGCTGATTACCTGCCGCAACAACCTTCATCACCAACGAAAAAACTCAACAGGTTGGGTCCATGTCGTCCATGGTGAATCGGAAGAGGCTATTGAAAGCGCAGATTCAATATTGGATAATCAAGATTCAGCAGGCATGTGCCGCCCACTGTGCCGTACCTGAGGGACTTTGACAACCACGAAAACCGTTTCG